AAGTGCTGAAGCATGTCACCAAGAAGGGTGATGAAGCAGTGAAGAGTTTAGAAAATATACCTTATGAGGAGCAGCTGAAAGAGCTGGGACTGTGTAGCTGGAGGAAAGGAGGCTCAGGAGAGACGTGACTCCCTACAGCTACCTGAAGGGTGGTTGTAGCAAGATGTGAATCTTTCCAAATAAAAGTTGTTATTATGGAACAGCCTCAAGTTGTACCAGGGGAAGTTTAGATTGGCTATTAGGAAAAAATTCTTCACTGAGAAGGTCATCAAGCATTGAAACAGGATGCCCATGGAGGTGGTGAACTCATTACCCAGGGAGGTATTTAAAGGATGTGGAGATGTGGTGCTTAAAGCCATGGTTGAGTGCTGGGCTAGCATGGAAATGCTGGGTTAATGGTTGGGATTGGTGATCCTTAAGGTCTTTTCCAACCTAAAAGACTTTATGATTCTTAAAAGTAGCTTGACAACTCTGTCAGCCCTTTGTGTACATTTCAGTATATGTTACAAATGACACAGTCTACAAAGTAAAATGAACACTAGTAATTTCATTAAGTTTTCCTTTGTTTTCTTAATTTTCCAGAGGGATATTGCTCTAGCATGACAGTCAATACACACACTCTATACATACTTCCCTCATTTCCTTTGGCAGTCATAACAGATTTTTATAAGCTGTGCTTAGCTGAGTTTAGTTGTCCTTGTATCACCTGCATCAAGGCTTTCTAGAAGTGTCTATTATTTCAGCTATTTCAGCAGGAAGGGACCGTGCCTGTGTGATCCCTCTCTCCCTTTTCTGCTTGAGCAAGAGGCACCAGTGATTGTCAAAATGGCTACATCTGGCTCACAGATAACAAAACCTGAGGATCATAAGTCTTGGTCAGCAGCTAAGGGATCATTGAGCATGTGCCAACCCAAAAAAAGTCAATTATCTCAATAAACAGTGGCCAGCACAGGGCCCTGAGCCCCCCTGCAGGGCAGTGTTTTGCACACTGGGATCTCCCCTTGGGCACAGAGGCTCTCCAGTTACTCCTGGAGGACAAGCAGTTCCTTGCTGGGGCAGATTCTCTGAAAGTGCCCAATAGCACACTAGAACACTGAAACCCTAGCAAGATGGTAAAAAGGATTGGTTATGAAAACATAATCCTTCAGCTATAAATTCTTAACCAAGTCTAGGACTGCCTCTGGATCCAGCCATGCCTAAAACCACCTTGGAGAAGAGTTTGGAAAAGAGGGTCCTTTCTGAATCTCAGCAGGACTGTCTCCCTGACAATTTTGTCTGATCCTGTCCTCTATGCAGACAATAATCAATTTGCTGTGACAAGGGGTAGAAAAAACATCTTGGTCTTGGTGACATCCTTGACGTGTGAAAGTCCCAGGAAACCTGGGCTGCTGTGCCAAGAGGGAAGTGTGAGTTTCACAGTAACCTCTGCCACAAATATAAATAAGTTCTCAGAAGCAATAATTACTATTTCTGTTCCTCTTACTGTAAGAAGAGTCCAGACTACATCTTCAAGGCATCAAAATTCAATTATCCTTGCAGAGTTGAGAAAACAGAGGTAGTTTAGGACAATTCATAGAAAACCAAGCAAAGTAACTCCTTACAGGGAAGATTTTTCTCTTAACACACCATGTGAGTGTACCATCTCAGCTGTGCTCCTCTAAGTGAATCAATCTGTTATGTGAGAAAGTTCAGAGTGGAAATAAATATATGAGAAATGGGTATAATGGTACCAAAATCCAAAGTGGAGTGAAAAGTTCCTTGTACTGAGTGTTACTTTCTTTTCTTTTATTGTTTTGTCTTATCAAGAAAAGAATAATTTTGCTGCTACAGTTATTTCACCTCCTTAGCAAGTTGACAGAGAAACTAAAATTTTAATGGATATAGTATCATAGTGGTGTATTTTCCAATAAAAACAGTGTGAAAAATAGCCAGATTTTTAAACTTATATTTACATATTATGAACTGAATATTTCAGTTTATATAGAAGAGTTCTGAAAGCTTGTCTGAGAATGATTTATAAAACCTGTAACAAAACAATTTTTTGAGTATTTGAACCTGAAAATAATATTTTTAATTAGATTAGTTTAGACAACTAATGTTTTCCCATATGATTTCACTTTCTAGCTTTATGAAACCGAGATTTAGTTTTATTAAACCATTTTTCTGAGGAAACTGTACATCTGCTTTGAAATGCTCAGAAGCCTCATTTCTAAGGAAGGCAAGCTTGTGCAGATGGCAAATGTCCAGAACAATGTGTAAGTTAAACCTTACAAAAAATTAAGGTAAAGCAGTTGATGAAAAGCACTGCAAAAATGTTGATGCTATGTTCCTACAGTATCTAATGGTAGGAAAAAGCTACAAAAATGGGCTCTTGTAGGTGATTCTGGAGGTCTGAATGCACAGTTCTGCATTCAGATCTGTGCTACTGGTTGCCATGAGGCAGTTCAGTTTTAGATAGGGTCTTTTAAGATCACTTAACAATTTGGAAACCTCTCTAAAGCCCTAGGTATTAAGCCATTTCCAACTGATCCAGCTGATTCAAAGTCAGGTGTTGATTTCTGTTATAAGCAGAGGAACTACACAGCAATGATGTCTGGTCCTGTTAACTAATGGATGTTTTGAATGTGGTGAATCTCCCACTAAAGAAACAAGTTGTTTCATAAGAAAAGGATTTTCTTCACCCCTACCAAAACTATTAGTATGCTCATTAGAATACAGAAGACCCCAACCGCTCTCTAAATTAAAACTCTTTACACTTGCTCTAGGGATGGCAGAAATGACATCAGATAAAGGGATCTGTGCTAACATGCAGAAACTATGCTGGAAGGTTGAGATTCGTCTTACTTAAGATAGATAAAAATCACATGTCTACATTAAGCTCTTAGCTCCTCCTGTCATCAATGGAAAGAGCTGGAGGCTCCAGAGATTAATTCATCTCAGCTGTCCTTGACATACGTCATGGTGACAAGAACTTAATTCTGAAGATACCTGTTCTCCCCTCTGACTACAAATGAATCAAAACGTGGCTAAATCAGACTTAAAATCTTGGAGTTACAACTTATTTTTTTGTACCTAACTGGGATGAATCCTACGTCAAGTGTCTTTTTGTTTTAAGCTTTTTTCAATATAAAGAGAATAAACCATATCAATCCAATCTTTAGCCTAGATATAAGCCTTTTCTGTGACATAATATATATTTTCTGTGGTTTCCATCAAAGCTTGGACTTGGTCTTGGAGGTGTTTTCCGATCTTAAAAATTCTATGATTCTATAATGGAAAATTAATACAAAGAATAAAGCTTGTAAATGATTAATAACTGTGCTTTTGCAGCATAATGTACCATAATATATTTCCCTATGTGCTTGTGGTTAAATTCATCACATTTAACTTCACCATAGCTAAAATTTGCCTGACTAGAAGTTAGAAACCTGTAAGATAAACTATATACTTAGACCCTAGAGAGAGTCACTGTTGAAATAAAAGCACCTCCAGGTGATTTATCGTGCTATACTAACATACATATCTAATGCAAGAAGAATAAATTAAGCTCGAGAGAAAGTTTAAAAACTAGATTAGGACAGATTATCAGGAAAAAGAGGCAGCTAAAGCTTTTTTCAGGTAACTGAAGAGAACCTCATAACTCCAGTCCTTGATACTTGGCGTTTTTAACCACATCAACACCTGCTGGAAGAGCCGTGCCTTGAGACTGAATTCTGGAGTGTGGGCCCACTCCCACAGCTTGTGACACCACCTGTTGCATGCAGGAGCACAAAACCCACAAAGCTGGCTGTCCAAGAGCAGGAGCTGGAAGAGCATTACTGTTGTGATTAGAAATTCAGATAAGTGAAATAAATAAAAAAAAATCTCATCAGGAAATAAGCTGCGAAAAGCCCGGGCAACAATTAGATATCTTCAGAGATTTTAATCATGAATTATTGTTTTAGAATATCACTTCAGTGAAAATACAACTGTGTTAACACAGAAAAGACTTTGTTGACCTTTCCTCTACTAGATTTGCATTAATATCCTATTTAGGCATTTTGATGACTTTAGGATTAGTGCCAAAATAAACCCAAAGTGTAATTGAATTAAATTTGACTTAAACTTACAATGTTGACATTTTCAACAGATACTTCAGGCACAGGTTCAAAGTTAGTTCAAAGTTTAGAAAATCTAGGGGAAAAAAAGGTAATAAATAATTAAAGGACCCGAATTTTTAATTTTTTTTTTAATTTCCTTGTAAGTTTGGACACCTTGGCATTTTCATTCCTCAATAAAACATTCCTACAATGTGATCACTCTGCTTTTAAAATTTTTGTCTTGTTTGCTTTCAAATAGGATCACATGGGATCTACTTCCAGGTCTTTTCATGTAAGCTAGCATAATTTTAGTGAAATCTTCAGTAACTTCTGACCATATAGACTATGGACTCTTCCTCCCACTTCTTTCCCACTGGTGATCAATATCCAAATTCAGCTTTTATCCCTTTCTAGAGTATTCTCTCTAGAATTTTTGCTAAGATTTCTTAAAAATCTTAATACAGTTAGTTTTAACTGTACCTTTAGTAATAATTCTTGTAATGAAAATCCTCCTAATGAAATGGGTCTTCATTTCTACTCAGGCTTGTGTTCAGTTGTGTTTTGAGTATCAACAAGAATGGTGGCTTCATAGTCTGTAAAAGAACCTGTTTCAGTGTCTGACAATCCCCACAGTTTTTTAGGTGTAAATGGAATTTCTTGTTTCAGGTTGTGTCCACTGGCTGTTGTCCTGCCACTGGGCATCACTGAGAAGAATCTGGGCCCCATCTTCTTTATTTCCTCCCATCTAGTGTGCATATAGATTGATAAGATTCTGTCTGAACCTTAACTTCTACAGCTGGAAGCTGTTACTCTTCAGCCTGTAATCATGTGACAGATACTTTAATTTGTTGATCACTGTCATGGCTCTTAGCTGGACTCACTTCAGTGTGTCTCTTGTACTCAACCCCAGGTGATGTTGGTCTCACCTGTGATGAGCAGAGGAGAAAAAGATGGTCTTAAAAGCCTTGCTAAAGTTGAGATAAACAATATCTACTGCTCTCCACTAACCCAGCAAGTCATTCATGTTGTTTTAGAAGGCTATCAGGTTGGTAAAAAATTGTTTCTCTGTTGTAAATCTATTCTGACTACTCCCAGTCACCTTCTTGTTCATACATTTTGAAATTATTTTCAGGATAATTTATTTCATCTTATTTCCTAGCCCTGGTTTCCTTCAACCCTGCTTTATGATTTTCAGTCTCCACTCCATCCATCACGTCATGTCCTTTGTTTGCCAACCTGGCCTTCACTGCCTCACTTGATTTTGAGTCATCATATCTCTCCTGAACTCTTCCTAGTTTAAAACTCTTTTTATCAGGCTGGCCCCATTTTGAATGCCTTGTTAATATAAGGATTAGCTTCCTTTCCAAGAAAAGACTTCACAGGAAAAAAGACATAAACACAGGGAGTTTTATTCTTGTAACTGGCAATTGACATCAGCTGGGTAATATTTCTTGGAAATTCATGAGTCTCTCCCAGGGGTCAATAGTCCTTTAGTGCAAAAAAGAAAAAAAAAAAATGCTCTTTAGAAGCCAAACTAACAAGACTGTGCTTCCCACTGGGCTTGTGAATGGTTTGCTTGCTGTACCTTGTTAAATGTAAATTTAAAGTAAGTCAGTACCTGCTGAGAAACATTTAGTTTCACTGTCTAACTGGGTCATACCCAAATTTGAAACTAAGGACATAACTGTTAAGTATTGTAAGAAATATATGCATGATCAATTCTCTTTTTATAAACATGCTTTACTGCATGCTTTTTCTAAATTTCCCAGCATAGCCCCACCACAGGACTCAGAAGGCATCAGAAAGACTGACTTCAACCTTTACAAAGAAGGGAAGAGGGTTTTCTCTGATGATTGCATTTATCTCACCTAAATTTAGAGACAGAACTCATCTCCATATTCAGATACCTGCATTTTGATATGTCTTTATTAGATTATAGGTGTCCACACTCTTTGCCAAAGGAAACCATAACTGACTAGCAGTGGATTTAGGAGGTAATTCAGCTGACCAATAGCCTAATAAATTATTCAGTTTCCTTAGGCTGTTCAGTTACTTAACCTGTTTGGGTCTGCCTCACCAGAGGTACCCAATGCAGAGGCTGGCAGTTATGGCACAACAAATACCTGAGAGTTGCTTCCTGCAGTGGCACTGGGAGCTGGGACTGCCACATGTGGGTGTCCTGGCAGTATAATGAGGTTAAGGAGAGAAGGTGGCCAATTTTCCTGCCCAAATTTCTGCAGGGTGAATACTTGCCAGGAAACAGTTTCACTGATGATTCATTTTATTTATTTCATACAGATTTTTTTATTTCTGTTGGTTCCACGAACCTGCAATGATCCAACCTTTTCTTTCTGTCATAGAGCAGAAATCATTCTGCAAGAATTGACACTAATGAGAAACTTACAGCCTTCTCCTCAACCCTGTAAGCCTTCCTCTGCTGAGCATGCATGAATGGATAAAAACTGGACTCAGCATTTCTCTTTGCACCGGTAGTTTTCAAGCTCTGTGAACCTTCATCCATTGTTAAGGTTGTTAATTACTATATAGTGTATATTATTATTATTATTATTATTATTATTATTATTATTATTATTATTACTACCAAGGGCACATTCAGATATTTCTATTGCATAGGCACTGCAGTATGATAGCTATTTGATTTATTGTGAACAGTGCAAAACAAACCAAATTATAATTTTTGTCAAAGGTGGTCTGCTTCAGTAATTCTTATTGACACACCCAAAAGGAATGATTGCTGAATACACAATCACAAGAATACAATATAGCTATTTGAATATGGAAATCACTGTTTTTCCTTATGTAAAATCATGATCAAGCAAAATATTTGCATGTATTCAGCAATGTGAAATTTCAGATAACAGTAATTCTTACATTAGTCTGCTGCTTCAGTTGTGTTAAGTAAGCACTGCTGTCTAGTTTGTGTAGTCTTAATAATACCATTATTCAATTAATGAAATCTAGGAAGAAATTATTTCATTTGCCACAGTTACAAATGGCATTACTTTAAAACCATAAGTTCTTGAGCAGCTGAATAAATAAATATATTTATATAGCAACCTTGATGTTTACCAGTGGATATGTAAGCCAAATTCTCCTACTGTACTTCAGTTTTGCTAAAAAGTATTTATAAATATTTTTTGAAGTATTAAGATTTAACTGTAACTTTTAAAGTATTAAAAATACTCATGACTCCTGTACATTATTTTGGTATTTAATTTTTTTGTTTGTTTGGCCTTGCTTTGTTTTTTTTCCCCTAAATTCCATCAGTCCATGGAATATTTTCTTCATTAATGTTAATTGAGAATGACACAATGAATACATGGAGTGTTTATCTTTCAGGTGAACTGATATAAACTAAAATGGTTAGGGTGACACAAATGTTTTCAGTGATCTGCTCTGCACTAATACTATAAGCCTCTATTGTTCATAGAGACAGAACTGCTGCACTTATCAGTCATGCACATACAGTGTTAAAACTGAGGTTTCTTAAAAGTGAAGGGATATATTTGATAAATCAGCAGATTTCAGCATACAGCTGCAACTCTTGACTCCTACCTGTCTGTTATATTTTATATTGTCCTTCCTGTCCGGTGAACTGCTCCAGTCTGTTCAAAGGAAGAAAAGACATACTTTGAGATGCTAAATAATAATGATAATTTCATTTTGTAATGTGGCATATTGCACAGGTTATGAGTTCTATCCTTCCTCCATTAAGGCAACTATAGGCTAGGGTGCAAGCAATGGGTAACTGTAGGTTCATTGTAAGTAAAACCAGTTCCAGATCAAAATTTTGAGACTATTAACAAAAAAATGGAAGTGCCTGACATATCAGCTTTGGCTGGACCTCCACTTGGCCAGTTTTCTAAGCTGCCTGGAGATGTTCTAGACACTTTGGGATGTATCAAATGGTAACAGTCTCCTTTCTTAGGAAGAGATTATTTATTATTTCTTCCTTAGACACCCGAACTCTGCTTTCATGTGCAGTGAGTTTGATCCCTCTGGACACCTTGGACTATAGAAGTTCAATTCCAGCTGATTGCACAGGAGATTTAAAAACATAGACCACTAAATGTCTCAGTCTTTTTTTCAATATGAATCTTAATTTCTTCACTCTCATTTTTATTTAGGGTATAAAAGGACTAGAGAAATAAGGTTGTAAGAGATGACAGTGTAGACGTCTAGGTGAGATGGTTATCAGAGGTAACAAGGGAAATAAAGGTCTGTCAGAATTGCAGCAACTTGAGGTCACAGTTTGTCACTGTCATAAACAACCTGAGACACCATGATGCCCTTGCAGTCCCCAGACAGAGAATCCACATCAAAGCCACCTCTCCTCTCAATGAAAATATAGTTTAGAAGCCTAATTGATTAGCAGAGGAAAAATTGTCTGTGTTGAAAGAAATGGAGAGTCATTATCCTTCTATTTTCAAATAGCAGTGGGAAGGGCTGGTGGTGTCTTGCTGGCAGCTGAAACCATGCAGGCATAGTCTTCTCTGTCTGGCAAACTGAGCATGCAAATCCAGTTCCTAAAAAATGGCAGCAGCTCAAAAAAATATAACTTCTTCCACCAACAGGTGTTTCTGGTGTGGCTGTACCTACAAAAGATCCCAAATTTCCATGCAACCCCTTTTCAAGAAAAAAACAGTACATTTGGATGATTCAATATACATCCTAGCAATATTTAATATGAAAGCAAAAGGAAGACATTTGTTTGCAAATAGGTGTTTGGGAATCATATAATAAATATATAAGTTCTAAGATTATTTTATGCTATCCCAAACAAAAGAAAAGCCTAAATAGACAGTATATTAATCCCATTTACAAAACAAAAGTCAGTTGAACGGTCTTTACATTTTTTTGCATTTTATTTCAATGCATGCTTTTGCTAACAGTGTCATTTTCTTACCAGTAGGTTTTGTAAGAAAATAATTAATCCATAGCTACATCTATCTTGCTCTATGATTTGTTATTATTGTCCATTTATATATATTCTAGCTCAAGTTATGTTGTCTAACTGAACTAATTTCTAACTTCATTTTGATTTCAGGTATTCAGGCTCTGTTGTTTTGCTCAAATTCAATATTCTTGTATCCATGGCAACAAGATGTGCATACTCTGTCTTAAATATTATCTCACCAAAAAGTCAAGCGATTGAAATTGGAAGTACTTGGCATGTCACAACTCCACTGTATTTCAGATAGACAATTATGAACAAGAAATCAAATGTGTAGTGACTCTGCTGCTGGATGTACTGTAATTACATCTCTGCTTCACAATGTACTTTTATGGCTCAAAGTTCTTCAAAATGAAAAAGAGTGCTGCATCTTTATTTATTAAATGCTAATGCATTCCCAACAGAAAGGCTTAACTCTACGAATGTTTAACAATTATGCAGAATGCACTAAAGTGCTCTCATCCTAATCAGTTTGTTTTCATCTTTTTTATTTCAGTTTTCACTGAAATCCAACAGCAAGGGATTGTTTTTAATAAAAGTACAGGGATAGGAGTCAGCACATTTTATAAAGACTCCAACTCACCTCCAAGTTTTGTTGAGACAGAGCAGTAAAGACCGTGCAGCTGGGGAGAAGTTCTCTTTCAATGTGATCTTCCCATCCAAAATAAGTCCACAAAATTCAGTTAAACACAACCAGCTTTTAGAATAAATTCTGACATATAGCTAGTAATTTCAAACAAACTTAAGAACTTTCATAATGAATGTTGGCTTAGTAGTCTTTTCAAATGATAAGGTCATGGCTCCACACATTTTTTTGAGTGATGATCTGCTCTAGTGCTGCTCTGAAGAGGGCTAACATCTGGAAAAAAAACATGTTATACTCAGATGCTGCAAGTGATAGAAAGTACAAAAACTTTTTAAAAAAGGCAGGTAGGAGGACAACCACACTGATTTCAGGCTTTCACTCCTGCAGAAACTCTTTCATATTTTGTGGAGCTTGCATTTTCTGCATTTTCTGCATTTTCCCCCATATTTCTTCTCTGCAAACATTAATTCTTAACAAAAAATCATTCAGCTTAATGGAGGTTTTGTGAGGTAGAGTTACCAAGAGCATGCAGGGACAGATAAGAGAAACAAAATAACAATGGGTTTGAAACATCCAAAACTGCTACCTGGTGGGTGAGCAGCAGGAGCAGCAGGGAAGAAAGATGCAGACAGGGAATTTGGATGCTTGGGGAGAGATTCCTGCCCCCTGCACTTAGTTTTGTATTTTGCTCTGGTGATCTGATAAAGATTCATATGGAGCTTGAAGTGTCAAAGCAAGGTTTTGCTGCATCCAGACAGACATTATCTAAATAACCAGGAATGGGGATCTGAAGTACAGATACATCTGCCCCTCATATAAACTTAATCCATACTTCCTTCCTTGGGGAAAAAATACAGGCATAGGCTAATGTATTGAAAAATTATATATGAATATAATTATATAATAACTATTAGGACTTGGCTGGGTTTTTTTTCCCTCATTTTATTCCCAAACACCTAGATAATAATAATATATTTGTTGGCAAGAAAGCCATTGGAAATCTTTATTACATTATTCATATCTGCAATAATTTGATTTTCATGTACATAGCGTGCATTCAGTTGTGAGTAATTAATAAAAAACCCCTCAACAAATTTCTCAGTTCTCCATACCTGGTAGAAAGAGTTTCTGAGATTCTCTGAAGTCAGTAGAGAGGGTCAGACACCTCCTTTGGATCTGTAGAGATGACTGGAGACAACTTAGGCACTTCTCTTTGAAGGAGCTAAATTTTTCCCTTAAAGATGATTCTGAGACTAGATGGTTAACTTCAGATTATCTCTTACCAGTGTGTTCAAATAATCATGATAAGCTGAAAAATATCAAGTTCTTACAGGCTTCCAAAGTGTTCATTGTGCAGGCAAGTAGCTCCCAGACTCCATGGAGGTCTGTCCTCTAATCTGTGCTGTTCAAAATATTTATGAATATTAACAACGAGGTGAAAACATTTTCTTAAGAGACTTGATTAATTGGGATAAAAAACCTGATGGTTAATGGAGGAGAGCTGCAAATGTTTGCAATATTGATTCAGTGGGAAACAGATTGCTGACAAAACTCAAATGTAAAAAGTCACACAGGAAAAATAAAAGCACTTCTTTGTTTTTTTTATTTTCAGGAATGAGTTCTGAGTTAACTATTACTTCCCAGAGATGAGATTTTTGAGTCAGAAATCATCATCTCATAGAAAAATAGTCTCAATATTCAGCAATAGTCAAAAATCAAGTGAAACTGTGAATTATCAGGGAAGGATTAGACTGCATGTCAGAAAGTGTCCCAATTGAGGTGTACAACCCTGTGGTGCACTACATTTGGAGGCAGGTATGATCTCTATTTCTGAGAGAAAGCACAACCCACCTGGAATTACATTGCATGGCATGCAAAAGTTTAAAGCTTAATATATGTTCAAACCATGTTTATAAATCACAGAGGAAAAAGGCATGAGAGGGCATAAAATAAGAATACAGCAGAGAGGATTGGGCAGCTCTTGAGCCACAGTCTGCTGCATGATGAGAGAATGTGCAAGGAGGTCTCATGTGGTGCTTTCTTGGTTGTAATCCTTCTCAGCATCTGCTACTTGTCCAGTGCCAGGAGCAAGATGCTTTTCTAGATGTTTTGTTATTTCTATTATTTTTGCTACTAATATATCCTTTCCTGCACAATTTTTTCCCTACCGTGATTTTCTAGACTGTATATTGAGTCTTTCTGAGATTTAAAGGAAAAAAGTTTTTTTTTAGCTGAAAAGTCCATTCAAGTCCAATTTTCCTCTTGTTATTTCACATTTCTGTGTTTTACATAATACTCAGCTTAGAGGATAAAACTGTTGTCACTTTTTTGTTTGAGATTAAGTTAGTGAAGAACTATGGAATGATATTTGACTTTCCAAAGTTCTCCACATGCTGTACTTGTGCAGGATTCTTTACATTAGTAAAATTATTTGACTTCAGAAAATTAAATGTTGTATTTAATTTTTTTAATTAAAATTCTACTATCAGGTCATGTTGCAAATATTTTTGAGGTAACTAAAGAAAGAGAAAAATTTTGCATATTTCATACCTCTATAATATTTCTTTTAGTATTTTGCCTGTTACAATATTTTCTTTGTCTACCTTTTAACAGCTTATATACAATTTGCTATTCAATTCCCACTGTCATTGACACAATAGTATTTTGGAGCAATTGTAGTACTTCCTAAAGTTTTTTGTCTTTATGGTGAATTAGAAACACTGAAATTAGAATTTTTTTGTTTTACCTTGCCATCAGAATCATATGTATATACAAATACCCCACATAAAAACATATTCTCCTATGAATACTTTAGAAGTGTACTTTAGAAGTACACTCGAGATAAATAATTCTTTTCATATATAGAACAAATAACCCATTTATTGCCTGCTTTGAACAGTGAAACACACTTTTTATGTGTTCACTTTTTTCATATTTACATTTCTGCAAAATAAATTTATTAAGTAATTTGGATCAATTTCAGGTGATGTGTGGAGTTATGTAATACAGTCACTTTTATTTCTCAAGCTTACAGTAGATTTGCATGGATGAAAAAATAGGAGTTGAGTGATATGCTAGCAAATATTCTTTCAATTTTCACCTGGTAATGTAATTTAAAATTCAGTTTCAAATTTAATTTCCCCTTGATTTCAAGTAAACTAAATCTCTAATACTCTAACTCTCATTATCTGTCAATCCTGCTTAATCATCATTCTTTATTGTGGAAAATAAATTAACTCCACAAATAATTCCACAAGATCTCTTGTTTCTAAAGAAATCCTCTCTACTTCTCCATGTGTTATTCCCCTATCTGTTCATTCGCCCTTTTGCACAATAATAAGTCACATTTGCAGAAAACAAGTGTAATCCTTCAGTGTAAAATGTATAAAAGAAGCTACACTGACAAATTTCTATTGAAAGCTATGGCATCCTATTTAGAAATGGTGCCAGACTTTGTGGCAATAAATTAAGGAATTTTATTGCAATAACTTCTATTGGGAAGTGCACAGGCAAAACAAAGCCTTCCTTAAAACTTTTTGTATCCTCTCCTTTCTGGCTCACTGCCCTACCTACTAGTTTTTGTCCACAGTTTCTTATTTGCTGTGACTTTTATTCTTGGTTGCAGAGTCCCTTAGGCTTAGAGAGAGGATGAAGAATAGCTTTTCTGTCCCTTCCACCTTTGTATAACAGGCTTTGAAGAACAGGTGAACTGGGATTTGAGTTTCTTTTGATTGCAGATATATTTGATCCATAGCAGATGAGTGCAGCTGGCCTTGAGCTCTTTCACAAGCTGTTCTGCTGCTCCCTGGC